AAAAAAAAAAAAAAAAAAAACCGTAGACATTTTTATCATCTTGGATATGCTATAATTTTTCTTCCTCTTCTTTCCTTGTTATTCAATTTCTTTGCGTTTATTCTTGTTTTCCTTTTTTTTCTCAATTGTATTTCGTTTCTTCACCTCTAACTGATTGCATCAGTCGCAATTACCTTTGCGGAATACCCTCACTTTTCCACTTCCTGGCAAAGGCAATACCAAGAAAAAAAAAAATTGTGCCAATAAATATATATGTTTTTTTGTTCTCTCGATTTCGATTCTCGAGCTTGTCGGATTTTCTTTTTTTTTGTTTTGTTTTGTTTTTTTTTTTCGTAATTTGTAAAGTAGTTAAATATTAAAAATTAATGAGATTACGCAAGACTTACGGGACTCTTATCATTCACAATCATTCACACACCTCATGCATTGAACACATTGAAAATGTCGCCAGACAAACAAAAAAAAAAAAAAAAAAAAAAAAAAAGAACAGAAACCGAGCAAAAACATACGTATCACAAAAAGTTGTTGCTTTTCGTTCTGTAGGCGTGGCAGACAACGGACGCACAGCAAACAAATAAGTTAACTAACACATTAAAAACAAAAAAATAATCTATGTATACAAAAAAAAAGAGTTAATATTAAAATTAATTGGGTCTGGGTCAGTGGAACATTGTTGTAAAACTAAATGCTTGTATAAATCTCAGATCTCTCGTACTAGAAACTATAAATTATACGTATATAGTATATAGATGAAATATAACTACAACGAATTGTCCATGTGGCAGAAGCAACAGCTAAACACACGTCACACGCGTCACACGCCACACGCACACACTGACAGACACCACGCCCAAGCAGAATCCCTTGCGGTCTCCTTGCAGATAGATGGCTGCAGTCGGGGATTTACGATTTCCGATGTCCGATGTGCGCGTCCGGGGGCATGCTTACACAAAGGTCTCCCTGATGACGGTGTTGCTGCTGCTGTTGCTTAGATCTTAGAACTCAGTTGATTGTCAAACGAATGACGAGAAGCCGGGCAATGGAGCCCGCGATCGGGCCATGTTATTGACGATGATCTGGCCGCCATTGAGGCTCATTACGGCGCTGCCCTCGGGCTCGGAGTCAGTGTAGCTGGAATAGTTGCGCACCGGCTTGGTCTTCTTCCACGACTGTCGCAGCGAGTCATTCACATTGGCATAATGATTGACGAACGAATGCGGATCGCTGCGCACGCTCTCATTCTCGCTCTCCGAGTGCTGCAATGGAAAAGCTCGGATTAGTACGTCGTGCTCGAGGCCCGCTTGCCTGCACTCAATCAGCACTTACCTGCGAGGCCTCAGAGCTGCTCACTTCGGATGGCTTCTCGGTTACGCTGCTGTCATCGGGATTCTCGTCGTAGCACTTCAGGCTCTCCTCGTCACTATGATAGGCCACCGAGGCAGGCGAGGGCCTTGGTGGACTTTTGCCCAATTGAGCGCTAGTGGGTGGCCGATTGGTCGACTTGCGGCCGAGAGTGCCCAGGGTGCCGCTGCGGAGTGTGCCCACGCTGTTCAGGGTGCCAGTGCCGACGCCGTGACGCGAACGATACAGCTCCAGTGCCAGCTCCTGACGCTCATCAATCGACATGGCCATGGACTCTTCCAGTGTCTTCTGTGCCTCCTCTGCGCCGCATCAAACACAACCAGAATTAATTGAAATTGGACGAGATTCGAGATATAGTCCACTTCACTTACGCTTGTACTTGTAGCTCTTGCTCTTCACGCAGAGCACGGCAATGACCATCACGATGATGACTATCGATGTGGCCGCCAGCGAGACCATGAACCAAGTCTGCCTGTAGAAGGGCTTGTGCTGCAAGTAACCGTACTCCAGATGCAGCTTCGATGGGGTCAGTATCGAGTCCTTGCAGTACGCCGGAAACGAGATGCCGTAACGGTTGTAGGCGATCACACGGAATGTGTATGCGGTCGATGGCATTAGTATGTGGTAGCTAACGGTATAGTCTTGCATGGGCCCCTTCTTTGTCTGATCGATCTTTGTCCAGCGCGAGTCGTCTGTGAGTTGAGAAACTAATATTTAGACAAGTCCATCAATAGGTTGTTCTATCTAAGGCTCTTAATATTTGTAATTTTAGTAATTTTAGTAGGAATTCATGCAGTGGAGTAGAAGAGTGTAGGGGGGTTAGTAGTAACTAGAAATACTTACATATGAACGACGGCTCTCCTTTTTCTACGCAAGCATATTGGAAATTGGATTTAAAGATAGTTGTTTGTTTTTGTTTTTGGAAACAGTTCACCAAAGATGATTGCAAAATAGAAATCAAGAGAGTTAAAGTAAAGAGCGAGAGGGAACCAGAACCGTATGAATATTAGGCATTTTGGGTGGACACTACGACTTACCACGTTTCTTGGCCTCGATGAGGTAACCAAGTATGGGTCCACGACCGGACGGACCATTGATCCAGTGCATTTCGACGCTGGACAGCGTCTTGCTGAGTATGAGATCGCGTGGTGCTACGGGTGAGCCGTCCTGTGGACCGGTGGTCACATTCTCACTAACCGCCGGGCCGTAGTCAATCGTCTGGGCGCGCACAGTGAACGTATAGGTGACCTCCTCCTCCAGATTCTGAACTCGTAGCGTCGTGTTCGATACCTTCTGCTTCACCTGCTTGCTGAACTCTGTGAACGAGACGATGGATGAGGTGAGTGGATTGACCTAGTTTCACTTGACTTGTAGCTTACTCTCATTCTCCTCGGTGGTTTCGTAGGTGACCAGATAGCCAAGGATTTCGCCATTGAGGAACTTGGGCGGATCCCAGCTAACCTCCAGGCTCTGCATGGTGATGTCCGAGAAGCGTAAGTTCAGCGGGGCACTGGGAACACCCTGCAACGTTTTGACCGTAACGGGAGCGGAGCGTGGTCCGTCGCCAGCGGGATTGAAGGCCAGCAGCTGGATGCGGTACTCGGTGTATTTGTCGAGAAAGACGAGACTGTGCGATGTGGCCGTGGCCGAGACAACTTCGATCTCCTCCTCCCACTTGCGGCCGGGCTCGAGTGCCTGCGGTGAATATGTGACCAGGTAGAAGATCTTGTAGCCCAAAATGTCGCCATTCTGCATGCTCTGCTTCGGTGGCTTCCAGCGCAGGCGCACCTCAGTGCTGGATATGGCGGCTGCGTCCACGGCACGCGGCTCACCCGTGGGCACCGCCTCGCCAACGTAGACAGCAGCTGGCGGGGTAGCCGGACCCGGTCCCTGGGAGTTGAACGGCAAGACGACGATCTCATAATTGCGATCCTGGGTCAAGTCGGAGAGCACCACGCTGTTCACATTGATGCCCATGACATCCGTTTTCGGGGTCGACTGCAGGGCGGTGGGGAAGTCGGAGAGCTGTTGATACAATATGCGATAGCCGCCAGTGGCTGCATCTCCGTTCCACATGCCCGTCTCCAGTGCGCTCCAGTGCACGCGCACCGAGGTCGTCGTAATGGGCACCACCTTCAAGCCACCGACACCAACGGCGGGGGCGGCGGGCAGCGTGCGCACCACAATACTTTCGCGACTGAACGCCGAGGGGCCCAGATCGTTGGTGGCCTGAATCCGGAACTGGTAGGTGGTATAGGGCTTCAGTCCAACAGCCGTGTACGAGCTGACCAAGGGATCGACGCGCTCCGGCAGCGGCTGCCACGGACCCTCATTCTCGCGCATTTGCACCGTATAGTAGCGCAACGGCGCGAAGCCATCTCTGCCCGGCGTCCAGCTGAAGGTGATCTGATGAGCCTGAATCTGGCTGCGCGAAACCTGCGGCACTGACGGTGCCTGCGGACGGTCCCTGTTGTTGGTGGTGTACACCAGCACGGAGGCCGTCTTGCCCCAGCCGAGGCGCGTCTGGGCGGTCACACTGAAGGTGTAGTAGCGCTCGGGCAGCAACTGGGTGGCACGGAAAGTGCGATCCGAGGGCGGAAACTCGCGACTATAGTTCAGATTGGCGCTGCCGTTCAGAGTGTAGGTGACCTGGTAGGCGAGTATCTCGCCATTCGGATCATCGGGCACGTCCCAAATGATGCGCGCCATCGAGAATGTCACATCCGGGAAGCTGACATTCGACGGTGCTCCGGGCGTATCCTCAAACGTCTGGACACGTATCGGTGGCGTACTCAACGCACCGTCACCCAATCTGGTGTAGGCCAGCACTTGCACATGATAGACCACGTATTTCTTCAGCTCCGTCAGGGTGGTGGTGAACGAACTGTTGTTCGGTATGGTCTTGTGCAGCACCGGCACGACTCGATCTGTGGCCGCGTAGAACACTTTGTAGCCCTCGATTTGTCCGTTGCGATGTTGGCGCGGCACCTCACCCCAGCGCACCACCACGGTGGTTGAGGACGTCGCATTCGCCTCGACCTCTAGCGGACCGTAGCTGGGCGTCGCCTCGCGAGTACGCTCCTCCGCCGCGTTGCTGGCGCGCGAGCAGCCGACATCGTTGCAGGCATTGATTAGCACCTCGTAGAGAGTCCATTCCTCCAGGCCATCGAGCACATGCGAATTGGCCGTATGATCTTCGATGAGCGTGCTGCGCGGTGGGTGCTTGATCGTGCCCGCTTTGTGGTCCACTTGACGGTAGCTGATGTTGTAGCCGCGCGGATTGCCGAACCACTCGGTCTGCTGCAGCGGTATCCAGCGCACGCGCAGCTGCTGGGCGCTCATGGCCCGCACGGTGACGTTGTACGGTGCGTGCATGGGACGTGCCTGTATGGTCTGGAAGTCCTTGGTGGGCTCGGAGGGACGCGAGCTGCCCACCACATTGGTGGCGCTCAGACGCAAACGGTACTGGGTGAAGGGCATCAAGCCGGTGACCGTGAGAGTTTCCGCATCGGGATCACTGATCTCGCATATGGTGAACCAGGTCATGTTGCGTGCCGTCTGGGCTTCCACTTTCCATTTGGTGATGCTCGAGTTGCCATCGAAGCCGGGCGTAAACTGCAGCACCACAGAGAACGCCTCAATGTTGGACAGTGCCAGGTTGGTCGGTGCATGCGGCAGAACTGGCTCCACGCCCGACTGTATGGTCGCCGTCTTGGGCGTGCCCCGGCCAATTCGCGTCCAGGCACAGATCTCGAACCAGTAGTGCGTGGTCGCCTGCAGCTGATTGACCGTCAGCTGCGTATCCTCGGCAGTTAGATTGATCGACTTCATCGTCTCCGGACGATCGCGCATCTGGTAGCGCACCGTATAGCCCGTGAGCACACCATTGGCATGACGGGGCGGTGCCCAAAGGACGGTTACGGAACGATCGGAGATGTCGTCGAAGTGCAGGGCAGTTATCTCGTCGGGCACATCCTCTTTGGTCATGACGGACACCTTCTGGCTGATGACACCGTCGCCGGGATCGGTGAAGCAGAGCACGGTGATGTTGTACTTGGCGTACTTATCCAGGCCATTCAGCGTGGCCGTCTGCTCGGCCAGCGGATCAATCAAGCTGGGCGGCACGGTGATCATGCGCTTCTCCAAGTCCTGATACTCGCCCTCAATCAGATGCTGTTGCCACGCCTGGATCTTATAGCCCTGATTGATGCCGTTGATCTGCTGGGGATTCGGTGGGGTCCAGCTAATCTGCACAGCCGTTGAGTTCAGGGCGAGCACACGCAGATTGGTGGGCGGTGCCTCGGGTACGCCCTCCTTGGTCTTGATCTTGGCGCCCTCGGTGTAGACGCCCACGCCCATATTATTGTACGCAGCGATCTGAACTATATAATCCTTCCAGGTGATCAGCTCCTGTATGAGAAAATTGCGTTGCGCCTCGTTCGTTATGTTCTGATACGACCAAGGCACATTGTTGTAGCCATAGAGACGGTAGCGCAATATATAGCCCAGTATCTGGCCATTGCGATGCTCCTCGAGCGGCGGCTGCCATTGCGTTATGATTTCCGACATTGATCTGGCCGAGCCGACAAAGCCAACGGGCGGGCCCGATGGAGCTGAGAGAACATTTTGGGGAAATATACAAATATTAGTCAATGATCTATATGAGTGGATCCAATCAGGAGGTGGTGTTGTGCAGTCTGAGACATGTTTACGTGTTCAAGTGTTTGAGAGAGTTCTCTTTCTCTTTGATTTATATACCTCGATAAAGTGGAAACACTATTCGCGCATTTAATCATCAAAAGCGGGCGATCACGACGATGCAGTTTGACGACAACGACAGCAGTTAGAAGTACAATACATACATTGGGTTATACAGCATTAGTTCTAGCCACAATACAATACTGATACAAATAAATATATATATATAAAGGAGTGCTCTCGGGAGACTCATCAATAAACGAAACACAACTAAGTAAAGTCAAAGCAATAATGGAAACAAACCAAATAATCGGCTAAATGTGGAGTTTAGAGCTAAATAAATAAATCTTCATCTATTTGAAAAGTTTTTTAAGCTCAAAATACTTTGAAGTACGAGTAAGTAAAAACTCTAATTGAATAAAAATGAAATTGTTACTAAAGAAAGAGGAGATTTGAAGACCTTTGGAGTCGATGTCCAAGGATCAGGGATATATTACAACATAAGAATTGTCGAAAGCACAAAAAGTCAAAGCAATAAGAAACAAAATGAGACAAAGTTCAATACAAATAAAGCTAAAATGGGCATCCTGAATGGGGTCTTTTAGTGGCGTACTTACCTTCTTGGGGCAGCTCGACGATGTTGCTTGGCTCCGACGGTGAGCCCTCGCCGACACGATTGACGGCGCTCACCCGAAACTGATAGACGGTGGCGGCTTTCAGATTATCCAGCACGATCCAACGTTGATCGGCAGAAACGTTGGTCAGTTCGGTGATCCAATTGAGGAGCGGATCAGGTACTGGACCTACGAATTTTTCTGTGATGTTAATGTGTTGAAAAACGTCATTGTGAAAGGATAGAGGAAAAGAGAACAAAAGAAGTGAAGGAAACAGAGAGAGAGAGAGAGAGAGAGAGAGAGAGAGAAGGAAGAGGCCGAACGTGCGATCGTTAGTGTGTGAGATGTGAAAGAGGATAAGGGTGTAAGATGAGTGATGAGTGATGAATGATGAGTGATGAGTTATGAGTGATGAGTTATGGATGATAAGTAATAAATAGTGAATAATGTGTAAGTAAGTGTAGGTTCAAGTCATGGATTATCACCGAAGAGCAATGAGTGATGAGTAATGAGCGATGAGTGATGAGTGATGAGTGTGTGTTGGTGTTGATTAACGTATATTTAGTTTGGTGTTCGAGTGCGATTAGGTATTCGTGTGTGTGTGTTGTAATGTGCGAATTAATGTGCGAGATAAGTGAATAAAAATAAAAAATTAAAATTAGAAAAAAATGAACAAAAAAATATACAATAAATAGATCACATTTATAGTACAATATATTAATTACATATAGATATTTACAATATATTAGTCAGGTAGTTAAATATGTTGATCCGTCACACGCAGCATGTTTTTTTTTTTTTTTTTTTTTTCAAGTGGAAGAAAAGAGAGAACACAATAAGTATAAATTTAGTAATGTACCAAAAAGTCTAAAATCCAACTATCTATCTATCTATTTTAGCTAAGCTGACTTTGTTGTGAATAATGGGACGTATAACGTTCATAATCTAATATATACTAAAAACTTCATATTAATATTTAAGCTAGACCTTAAGGAATTTACGGAACCGAACCTGCGAGGTGGCTAAAACTAATCTCAACAGACTATATGCTGCAGCTTAAGGATCTAGATCTTAGCAACAACTCAGATACCATCATCCTCAGCTTCTACCCGACCGACGCTTAACTTCAAATCTATCAAATATCTTTGATGGTTCCACTTTACTAAACTTGTTTTCTAACCCAAATCTTTGTATTTTGTCGGCTCTAAAAATTTTATAACAATTTCATAACATTTAGTTTAATTCGCCCCAAGCAAGTTGGGACACTAAGCTGTAAATTGTTTAATCAAATAGCAATCGTATAAAATTGTTGCTGTACGATATTTTTCCTTTTGACTGCAATTCGATTTGGTTTTGCATTTAAAAATCTGTTGCATACATTGCGTATCAATTAAATCTGATAGACGAGCTTAAATTTGAAGACTTAACAACTACAGCAAATGGAAATTAAGAATAACATAAATAACATGAAATAATAAAGGAAACATCTCGCTAGTTGAGATAAACATATTTTGTATGGCAGTCGTAAATAGAATCGAAAAGTTAATTGAATTCAAGGTATTTTCTTTCGTGTTTTCTCTTATTGTTGTTATTAGTGTTCCATTTCTTGCTGTTGCTGTTGCTGTTGTTGTTGTTGTTGTTGATTTGCTGATGAGATTTACATGTTCTCTCTCTAATTACATACACGACCCCAGGGCCCAAATCAGCTGCTCAAACAGCATCCGTTGAGTCGGCGTGTGTGTGTGTGTTCGTCTGTCTCTGTATGCGTGTGTGTGTGTGTGTGCGTGTGTCTGATAAATCAAATACCAATACCACCAAAGATCCATAACCTTGGCAACAACTACGTACGTAACGCTAACCCAGACAGAAAAAGTATAGACTTAACGCTTAGGATTGGACTTACCCAGTTCGGAGACCTCGCGACGCTGTATAATAAATTTGTCTATTGGACTGTTGCCATCGAAGCCCGGCGTCCAGGACACATTGATGCTGCGCTGATGGGGCTCGGGCAGGCGCTCCACCCGCACATTGCTGGGCGGGAACGGCAGCTCGATGACACTGAGCATTGCCGAGCGCGTCTCGTTGCCGCCGGGCGATGTCACCACACACGCGTAGGTCCCCACATCGCTCGCTCGCACCGCCTGTATCTCCAGCTGGCCGTCCGCCTGGACGCCAACGCGCTGTGAATTGACAATGGGCGTCGATTGGCCCTCGCGATACCAGTCGATGTTGTACGGCACGCTCGGATCGCTCGACACCTTGCACTGCAGCGTTGCGGTTAGGCCGAGCAGCACGGTTGTGTTCACCGGCGGTTGGATGATTTGTGTGCGCACTAAAGTGTAAGAGAAACACACAGAGAGAGAGAGAGAGAGGATGAGAGGGAGTCCGTAAAATGTCATTTAACTGCGAAACAGATAATCATTCGACGTTGCCTACGGCTGAGCTACATACTAGAGACCAATGGCTGGCGCATAGGAATTAAAGCTTTAAGGCTTTGCATGTATATGTGTACAAATACATATACATACATACATATATAGCCATTCATGCGCATATCTATATATATGTATGTACGTTTTTTGTCTGCCTTTTCACTCACTTGGCCGCATCATGCATCAAAAGTTCAACGCGCTCGACCAGACTTTAGAGCCGAGTCCGTCGTTCTGGGCCGTCTTTTTTTTTCTAGCATATATATTTTTTATTTTTTGCTGCGCTTTCTTTCTGGCCCTGACGACCTTTTTGTTGTTGTAGTTGTTAGTGAATGCCGCTGCCTCGTTTGCATAGCCTACACTGCATTCGCACACATACACATGCATAAGCACATACTCTTTTTGGTTTTGATTACCGTCCTCATACATACGCCATGCGTTTCATGCAAAACTAAATGCCAAAACTAACAAGAGGCTAGCACTGAACGGCTATGCACGACTGTCGTCATACTCTATGGAGTCAAAGAGAGTATTTGATTATCTATTCATACGTATATCTATCGACGTATTTGTGTGTACTCATTTCTATGTCATATTTCATATTTTTACATTATATTATAATTATAATATATTTTAAATTTTATATTTTATATTTTAAATTTTATATTTTATACTTTATTTTTTATATTTTAAATGTTATATTTTATACTTTATTTTTTATATTTTATATTTAATATTTTAAATTTTATATTTCGTATTTTATATTTTATTTTTTATATTTTATATTTTAAATTATATAATTTATACTTTATTTTTTATATTTTATATTTTATGTTTAATATTTTATATGTTATATATCGTATATTATATTTTATATTTTAAACTTTATGATTTATACTTTATTTTTTTTATATTTTATGTTTAATTTTTTATATTTTGTATTTTATATTTTATAATTTATATTTTATATTTTATATTTTATATTTTATATTTT